CAGCGTGATCTTCTTCTTTGATCTGCGGGCTGTAGAGAGTAGAGTACAAGTGCGTGTACGTGTATGATATGAGAATCAAGATCTCTACCAACCGGCCGGGGAAGGGGAGCGGTGAGATCAACACAGGTACCTGTGCAAGTCGGTGGCCAGCATCATAATGGCGTAGGCGAACATGTAAGCCGCATCGGCCGAGGTGAAAATGGAATCCGGGTTGTCCTCGAACCAACGAGCGGCGAACTTTTCGATGACGCGATCAATCGCCTGCGCTTCGCCCATGATACGGAAGTTGCCGAGCAGGTGCCTGGAGGGGAGGTGAAAAGGCGTCTTAAGACAAAGGCACAAACGTGTAATTGGTTGAGGCTGACTATAATATTTTATACCTGATGGCCAGATCAATCGGCATCTTGGTGAAGCTGAACATGTCGATGTAGGCGTGCAACACCTTCTTGTTGAACTCGCCCTTGGGACCGCTGTAGTAATGTGGTGTCCACACATCAGCCCACGTGAACAGAAAGCGATAGGAAGGAGAACGTACCCCTTGGCAAAGTATTCACCGATCTGCACCTTGTCCAGGTCCTCACCCTGCTCCTTGAAGAATCGGGCGACAGCTTCCGGTGTGTACTCGACCAGACCCGCGTCCACCAGGTATTGCACTCCCTGTGGCGGAGGAACTAAGATGTGAGTGACACTCGCGCACTGCACAGAGGGGACGCGGCGACCGAACCTTGGTGGCGTTGATGTTGAACTTCTCCTTGCCGGTCTCCAGTTGGAGCTTGATGTGCTTCTTCTTCTCAAATCGGTCGGGCGTTCGTTCTCCGGCGTCGTCGATCGACTCCGTGTCTGCCAAGAGAACCATCAGCACAACAAATGAAAAGAAAAGGGCCGGAGAGAAGGTTGTACCCGAAGTGCTGTCCTTGTCTTCCTTTTCCTTCACCAGCTCCTTGCTCCACTCCACCAGGGACTTCATGATGGTCACCAGGCACTCCAGACCCAGCGTTCTGAGAGTGGACTCGTGAACCACGGGACCGGTCTGTACACTAGGCGAGCCCTTGGCCATCGTCGACAGATCATTCACCATACTGTGTGGTTCGTGTGATTACAGTTAGCTATCTGGCAGGTGAAGGAGCAGGTGTGCATTCAAAGCAATATAACAGTACCGGCCGAAGATGTCCTGCGACTCGAGGCTGCAATCGTAGTTGACGAAGATGTCGACGAGGATCTGTGCGTTGTTGCAGATCTGCAGCAGACAGTCGAGCACCATTCCCTTGGCCTGCGTCGTGCTGTTGTCGCTCTCCAGAATCCTCAAGAAGATCTTGGTGAAGTAGATCGCAATCTCATCCTAAGAATCAAATTGTACAAGCAGCAAGCAGTAGCAGGTGAGTCACAAAGCCGTGGCAAAGGAACAAGAAACAAAGTAAAACGGTGGCTTTTCAACACACGTACCTTGAGGTAGACCTTGAAGTTGGAAATGAGGAGCAGGAACACGTTGAGGGTCAGCTGGAAGACCCGTGGCAGGGACGAAATGCCGTTGATGCCGATCGACGGGCACAGATATCTCTTGAACGCCTTGTTGATGAAGCGATGGGTGTGCTTGAACGTGGGGCCGGCCGTTTGGAGGATGGAAAGAATGAGCTCCAGGGAGAGGATCTTGCTCTTCACATCCACCGAATCGGGAAGCAGTCTGATCACAACCCAAAGATTGACTCGGAGTGAGCGAGCCGCACGAGTGACTATGCAAAAGGGCAAACGAGAATAACACACCCTTCGGGCAGGTCAACGTTGGAGAGCTTGCACAAGGCACGGAAGAGCATGTGGCAGTCACTGAACGCCAGCTCGAACGCGGGGCTGGTGAGCTCCGCCCTGGGAGAAGAGAAGCGAGATGAATGAATGAGCGAGCAGTCGGTTGCAGTAGAGGCACCGCGTAGCCAACGTACTTGGGCTCCTTGGCCTTCTTTGCCTGGTGTCCGTTGCCCACCGTTTCGATAATGCCCTCCAAGGCGCTGTTGGAGGCCTGCTTGCGGAAACAGCAATGCCCAATCAGCTTGGCGCTCTGTAAGAGAGGAATCGGTAAGAGTGGGGATGGCTACCTTGTCGCCGTCTTCATCATCAACGACGGTATCTTCGGCTTTGTCCTTTCCCTTGGAGCTCTCCTCGGCATCGGCACCGTTGCTCTTGCTCTCTGTTTCTTCCTCGCCTTGGTGCGCAGAGGCCTCCTTGTTCCTGGCCTCCTTGCGCAGGATGGATCCCTCCCGCTCAAAGCGCTGGAAGATGGCGCCCAGCATC